ATATATGTTCAATTTTCTTGTTTATTAATTTCACATATAAGAATTTGTTGTTACAGTGATAAAGGACTTATCTTACTTTTGATACTCTATGTACTGTCAATTAGTATTTTGCCGTACATAATGACACAAATACACTATAATTTTTTTCAATAATATTTTACCAATTATATTCGTAAAATTCTTTGAATGTTTTCTTTCATTGTTGAATTTTCTATTCTTAAGTTTTAGAATATCTAATATATTCCAACAGGAATTTGCAGCTGTGAAGTAACTTATTTTGAATGCCAAAGTCGTTAGTTAAAAAAATTTGCGCTAAGATTAGCGTCTTTGTATTAATTGCAGTATGTGTTAATACTGGAGGCGGAATTTGAATCCATTCGCAATGGAAATCAAAAGGTTCAAACGGATAAGTTCATCAAATCATCATTCAAATACGTACGAATCCACATTGCATAGTAATCTTACCAACATAAAGTATCAAGTTCGTATACGACATTGATGATAATGACGCTGATTAATCTATGTGTCAAATATGTCAGGTCTTCTTCCAATAATGTAAATATATCAGGCATTTCTTCAAATCAAATGTGTCAAATCACTCCCATGTTGAAGTTGAAAACATATATTGTCATTTGACATGTCTTCCTAACTCCAAGTTAAAAGAACTCCAGGGACAAATATTCCATAACTAGAGTTACAAAGATTGCAATCGCATTGACTCAGATTAGTTTGACCGAACATATAAATCCAACATGTCATATGAAAGGAACAAGACAAGAAATTGTGTCTGCAAGCATCAATTTGCCATAGTTGCATAGGACCTACGAAGTATTCCTTTTTTTTCAAGAGAGAAACTATCAAGTATTAGAACTGATGAAAAATATATGTCTTTGTTCGACAATTGCTGATTGTGCAGACGTGAATATTTTTTTAGATTGGGTGTTTAGTGTAGCTGACGGTATTACTGTGATGCAAATGATGGGATGACAAAAATTGAGAATCCTGACGATCTACTCATACTATTATCAGACGATCATATAGCTTATGTTCAATATGAAAGATTATAACTATTTACAAGAGAGGGTTATATTGGCGTCTATAAATGAGATTTTTTGCATGGTAAATGATTACATGTTATCTTAAATTTCGGGTGATGAAAGACTTATCTTAGTTTTGATTATCCATGTACTGCGAATGTGAGTTTCATAGTTCATAATGACATGTATACACCAGAATTGTCGAATTTAATTATATCTTTAGTTCTTCCAAACCATGAATCGAAGTTGAAGATTGGTGCCCATGTTATGTTGTTGATGAATATTACATTGGCCAGTCAAATGGATTGTGACATGGTACAATAATGTCAATTACCCGATTATAGTATCGTGTTTTGCAAGCACAGATTATATCGGGGTCAAATATTAGACACAAGATCTTCATTCTGAAATTTTTGTCACTCCATCACACAGGACAAATTCAATTAATTTCCAACGCCGACAGTTGTCCTTTGCTCTTTCATTTGCTATGATAATGAATAAAATTCAGAGCAAATCACTTAAATATGTTGGCATATATCTTCAGAAGCCTGTTTTCTCTCGTGAAATTATATATTGTTGGATAGAGGCTTACAATTCGAAATTATTTGAAGTTACTTATAATTAACAAAGAAGGAAATAATTTCAACCGTACAACAATGTTTTTGATAAACAAGTGTCCCAAAATGCCAGGTAACTAGTTATTATGTTTTTCACATTATTTATTATGTATGACTTAACTTTTGCATCATTTAACACATTTTAAATTATTTTGCAGCGTGTGAAGGTGCATTTGTTAAGATATTACCGTTAAATTATAATTTTTGACAGTAAAAGAATAATTTATTCATCAAAGTTGTTTCATTTATGTCATTTCAAAGATATCTAAATCTACAACAATTTTTGTTTGTTTATATTATTCGTTGTTAAGTTATTTGTTCTTTTAAAAGAATTGGTTTGATATGCTATAGTATGTGTATTATTTAGAATTTTCTGTAAAATGAATGGTATCAGTTTTATCTCCTTCATCATTTGTCATTTTCAGATGTGAACATAGGGTTTTTGTTTTGTCAAAAAAAAAAAACAAATCATGTTACAAATTTGGAATATAAGGGAGGTGCATGATTCAAACCTTAGACATCTACTCTAATAGGGAATGCCCTAATTATGGTTGGTGACGTGAACTTAGATTTCAGGCAATTGACTCCTTATAATACCACCACTTTTCCTTTTCAGTAAATTAGGTCACTTTACCACATCCTCAATCGAGACTCTCAGCATATCCATTGTCGCCTCCATGTTATGCTCCGCTGCCCCATTCCACAGCCTTTATGTTTGCCTTCTCAACTCCAATACCGATGAAGATCTTTGCACTAAGTTAAAAACCTTCTATGAATATGTTACAAAGATTTGGGGAAATTTGTAAATTACTCACCCGTTAATTATTGGAGATGCTAATTGTTTGTTTAACCACAACATAATTAAGATGTGATGATAAACAAAACACAAAGTTATTAAATAATTACCATCCTTTCCTGGCTTTTAGCGAACTTGTCGATGAGTTCTTGTTACTTCTCCTTAATCTCTGTCATCACTCTGTCTATCCCCTGAGATTGATCATTTGAAAAGTTTAATACATTTTTTATAACAATTCGAAATTCCAAACTAGGCTTAAAGACACCTATTCAGAGATGGGCTCTTCCAAAGGAGCTAATCCATGTTGTTGCAAACACTAGAAATACGTTTTGTCGAGAAGTCTGATATTGGCTTGGAAGTATTGTTTAAAGTGAGCTACATTTATGTCGATCAGGTTCTTGCACCATTGTCCATCTCCACTTTACGTAAGAGAGCTATATTAACGTCTACAAATAAGATTGTTTACATGGTAAATGATTACATGTTAACTTTGATTCCGAATGATGAAGGACTTATCTTAGTTTTGACAGTCCATGTACTCCCAGTGAGAGTTCCGCAGTACATAATGACATGTATACATCATATTTTTTGAATTTTATTACATTTTCAATTCTTCCAAACCATGAATCAAAGTTGAAGATTGGTGCCCATGTTATGTTGTTGAGGAATATTGTATTGGCCAATCAAGTGGATTGTGCCATGGTACAATAATATCAATTACCCGATTAGAATATCGTGTTTTGCAAGCAGATATTATATCGGGCTCAAATATTTGACACAAGATCTTCATTCCAACATTTTCGTAACTATCATACAAGAGAAATTCCAATTCATTCAACACCGACAATAGCCATCTGCTCTTTCATTTGCTATGACAATAAATAAAGTCATAGTCAATCACTCAAATATGCTGGCATATATCTTCAGAAATATGTTTCTCTCATGAAAAAATATATATTGTTGTTTCGAGGCTTACTATTCGAAATTGTTTGAAGATGCTTATAGTTAACAAAGAAGGAAATACTTCCATACAAACAATGTTTTTGATAAACAAGTGTTCCAAAATATCACGTAACTATATTTTATGTTTTTCACATTATTTATTATGTATCACTTAACTTTTGCATCATTTAAGATATTTTAAATTATTTTGCCATGTACATTGTTAGGATATTGCCGTTAAATTAAAATTTTCGACAATAAGAACGGTAATTATTTCATCATTTTTTTTCATTTATGTCATCTCAAGGATATCTGCATCCACAACAATCTGTGTTTGTTTATATGGTTCGTTGTTAAGTTATTTGTTCTTTTCAATTTTTTGTTGGTTTCGATGTGCTATAGTAGATGTATTGTTTCGATTTCTTTGTAAAACAAATGGTATCAGTTTTATCTCCTTCGTCATTTATCATTTTCTGACGTGAACCTGGGGTTTTCTTTTCTTTTCTTTTTCAAAAGATCAAATCATGTTACAAGTTTGGGAAATATGTGATGGACGGGATTTGAACCCTAGATATCTACTCTAATAGTAAATATTAGGCACCAACTCTTCAAATTAGGGTTGGTGATGAAAATTTAGGTTTCAGGCCATTGACTCCTTATATTATAGACACATTTTGGAAAGAACGAATTTGTTATTTCTCTAGCAGGTCCGCGGTATTTGGTTCATGTCTATATCAAACATTATCATACGATGCACATATGCGATTCGTACTCTTTTTTCAACAGTTACTACAGCATTACTCCTAACATTCTCTTCGATGTGCCCACTTTTCATGTCATGTATTTACATTTCTTTGTTATTTATTTTTGGAAAAAAAAAAATCAACCGTGCAACACAATTTGTAGGGCCAAGCAGATATAATTTGTTCGTAACATTGGGCCCAAAACTGGAAAAAAAAAATGAAATTTTGAGATTTACGGGTTTGACTTGGCCTAAACATAAAATTAAAATGAAATGTATAGTTTCCGAATTGAACAAACATTGGATCAAGCAAAATAAACTAGACAAATGAAAAGGAACAAGCTGTGGACATCGAAATTTTGAGATAAATCACCAACTAATAGCCCAAATAATTGGTTATTAGTTTTTGTCTCGAATTAAGCCTATATTAAATTTGGGCTTTACAAATGTCCCGGCCCATTGTGCAAACCAATAAATCCTAATTTGTGCTCATAAAAGAAGGCCTCTGGTGCATGAAAAACACATACTCACATAGATACATATCGAGCTCGCAAGCTCAAGTCTCGAGCCTCCACCTCGAGTTCATTACATATTTGAATTCCGAGGTGTTTATATTTATTTGATTCAAGAAAAAAACTTTTATTCCCTTGAATCGACTTAGGATAGAAGAATTAGGGGAATTCCTGGAGATTGTAACCCAGATTTCGTTTTAATTAATAAATTTATTTGTTCTCTATTTTTCTCGTCTCGTAATTATATAAATTTTGGAGATCCTTAAAATTTGCGGTTTACACAACCATATATAAATAATAAATATCTATTAATGGAGGCAAATAAAAAACTAAGCAATTGGCTAAAAGACTTAATAAAAATCAAAGCCAATATAGGTTATGCCATTGGAGCGATCCCATAATAGCTTTTACATTACATGTATGGGGTATTTAGTTCTTCAAACTATATATTATGTCATGATTAGACAAACTAATCCACATAATTAAGTATTACAAAGAAAAAAGTAATTTCAAGGGGAAAAAAAGAACACAAACAAACACATGACTACCTAAAAGTAAAAGGAGTAAATTAAAATTAAAGGCGAAAAAAGAAAAAAAAAGTTATTATAATTTAACAAGTAAGGAAGAAATATAATGAAAGAAAAAAGTTAAAAATTGGGAATGGTGGGAAGAGTAATAATTTAGAATTAGGAAGTAGATGTTCTTGCATAATGAAGCACCATAATGTGAGGAATGGTTGAGGAGTTTGGAAGCAAAGTGATGAAATCCCTGTTTGGATTACTACTACTCCAAATGCTATCTCTTACATGCTCCAACGTCAAGAAAGATGCTACCCTTTGCCCTTTGCAAGTTATCTCAACCTGAAAATTACATCCAACCAAACGCCTCATTCGTTATTAATTTACTAAATAGTAATACTAATACTACTGATAACAACAGTAATTGTCACTGTCCTTATTTACCACAAAATACACATTACTTGCATAAAATATTTTGCGAGCTATGGCAATATGAACCAATGACATGATGTATTTTTTTTCCAATTTTCATGCGTGAGCGTGCGCACACACAAACGTACATATGTATATTAACTAATTAGTTTTATAGTATAGATCTACATAAAATCAAACATATATATGTGAGTATGTGTAACAATTATATAGGTCTATAGTGAAATTAAACTCGATAAAGTTCACCAAATGTACGTTAGCATAAAGGGCACGATCGATAAATAGTAAAGCGAATATAATAGTGAAGTCATGCTTATGTCACATTATGCTCATATTCTGCAGAAATTGTTAAATGCAAATCAAACAACTTTCTCAATCTTAAAAGTAAACTCTTTTCATTTTCACTTTTCTAATAATAATAATAATAATAATATATATTGCTAATTGAAAATAAATATATGATTGAAACCTACCCAATATTGAGGCCGCCCATCGCACGACCGAAAACTTCTATAACACTTTAATCATTTTCAAGGGGACCCACATCAGACTTTGCTCCTAAGCCTAAATCATTATACTTTAAGACTTCATTTTTTTTCTTGTTTATATATTAATCTGTTTTTACAAATTAAATAATAATAATATCTCTTCATCCATTATATTCTATAAAAATTAAAATAAAATCAAAATCAAAATTTATTTAATTATATATATATATATATATATATATATATATATATATATATATATAATTAAAATGGTGATATAGCATGTTTCATGCAAGTCCCCTTCACGTTGTTTTACATGAATGGATACACACGTAATGTACATACAAGGAATGAAGGAGATCCTAATTTAAAAACTAAAACAAAAATTTCAATTGGTTTTTCAAGAAAGTCAATATATTCTAATTTCCAAATTTTAAAATGTTTAAATTATACCTTTACTGTACATTAAAAAAATAAAGTGCCACGTATTAACGGTCTACCCCAAATAAAACCTAGCCAGCTAGGGTCGTTACTCAAGTAAGGGTTACTATATTATGATTAATTATGGGATATATATTAGCTAGTATGCAATTATTAATATATAGTTAATTAATATACGAAGAAACATTCCATTCACACAAATGAATTATACGACTTTTATATATATATTTAAATTGTGTGACGTCAATCCACGTCATACTTATGTTTGTTTCTTTCTTGTCAACAACACCAAATCATCATTCTGCTATGCATTATCTATCATGCATTGCTTTCCTACAACGTAAAACATGCACCCATTCTCTCTCTCTCTCTCTCTCTCTCTCTCTCTCTCTCTCTCTCTCTCTCTCTCTCTCAATACACGCACACACACTATACATGTATACACGTCTCTATCTCTCTCTAAATCAAATACTATTAGTTTAAGACTCAAAAACGTATTCACAATTATCTTTAAAAAAAAAAAAAAAAAAACAATTATCATGAAATTAATTAAGAACAAACCCCAAAATTATCTATAAAACCAGATATTTGATTAAAAAATGTATATATATAATAAAATAATAATAATTATATGATATAAACGGCCACAATATATAGTTATCTTTATGATTTGTTTTTATCCCTAGTGCACCACTTAAGACATTTGATGGCTCTGTTTAATCACAAAACATGGGAAAAGACAATTAAGGGCCTACTTGACTTCAGTTGATACCATCGCAAGCATGACGTCATCAAACCTCAAACCCCATGCACAATATATATCTCTTTTTTGAGAACCACTTATAAAATTTTCAATAATAATAATATATGATCTAAATTTTAATTACGCTAACTTTTTTCCAGTTTTTCGTGGATTAATCATTAATTTTCTTATGGAGTGATATAAATTAATAATTATGGGTTACACGTATACAATGTAAATTAATTATAAATCATTGTAGTACTAGTATATAATTTCAATATAATTGTAATTATCAATCACGTAGTATGATAACAAAGATACTAATTAACCTAATTAAGAATTTTATATTATTTTTTTATTTCACGATGCTGTGTGTGTGTGTGTGTGAGAGAGAATACTTATTATCCCCTAATAATCTTGATTTACATGCAGATTCCAAAGCGTGGTAGTATTTAATTTCCCCACCCACTTATAATCTCAATGATTGGCCACTAAGTTGCATGCCACTTACCAAAAATAAGTTTTTTCGCCCAAAAAGGAGAAATTCTTTTTTACTTTTCTTTTTCATGGTCTTCAATTATATAGCAATACCATTTTTTTTTTTTTTTTTTTTGTATAGCAATACTTAAGTCAGCTGGCTATGCTATAATCTATATATGCATTTGGGCAAGAGTTATTTTAATTAATTAATTAATTAATCTTAGCCCAAATTACTAAATAAAAGCAATGATAAATTGATAATTAAGGGAATCAGAAAGTTGACTTAAGGAATAAAATGCATGGTATTATTTGAGAGAATGTTGAGTGTCACATATTTTAAATGGACTAAAATAATTCTATAATGAATATGTCAAATAGCATAATTTATAAATTCAAGGGGTGTAGTTTGCGATTCTCTTATGATTTGCAAGTTATTATACGAGACTGTAGATTTACTCAGTGCACATATATAGTTAGTTGCAGGTTCTTTCATTAAAAAAAAAAAACAAAGAGGGGCACGTATACTATTACCTAACGTATGTTTTGATTTTTTTTTTTTCAAAGATTAAAAATAATATAAGATGTTTTATTTTTTCCCATATCCTTACTTTAAGATGGGAAAATATGATTTGCAATCAATGGAAGGTCACAGGCATCACAAAAGGGTTGACCTAATCAATTTATTATAACAATAATAGTATTAAGTTATTGAACTTTGGATTAGGAAGAAATCAATTAGAATGTTGTAAAGACTTTACGATATATATTTTATGTTTGGAATATTATTTGTGGGAGGCATGTAACTACTCTTCGACATAAATTTTTTTTTAAATTTTTTTTCCAATTATAAGGGGTAAATAAAATTTAAATTAAATTCATTAATTATATTATGGAAGTTCCATGCAACATGCAATGAAAATCGTTTTCTTATTACTCATTTATATGTGAATATATATAAATATCCAGGGGATATGAATCTGGATAAAACCCTAAACCTAAAAAAATGACATATATGCAAACAATTATTTTAAAATTAACACATTTTAAGCTGCTAGCTAATGTTAAATTTGCTTACTAATTAAATCTTCTGTGTTTATTTAAATTATAACAAATCTTTGATTTTTATTTGTTTTTTTTTTTTTTTTTTGGTTCCTAAGGAATTTCATCTTAATTCTTAATGCATGCCCTTAACCACAAATTCTAAATCCTATGAATAGATTAATTAATCCTCTAATCAAATGATCAAACACTTTAGTTTTACTCATATTGATCTTCAAATTTACACATCTACTCACAAAAAACACACACACACACACACACATGTATATATATTAATATTTTTGTTTTTGTGTAGAAAGAATTGAAAAAACGGAACGGTGTTATATATACAACGGGGAGATTGTATATCGGGCTATCGTATTCTTGAAAATAAGTGAATTAGAGAAGCAAATAGTGGAGAGATTTCATTTTTTTGTTTAATTTAAAAATTGGGAGGTCATATATATATATAATATAAGGTGAAATGTAGTTTTCTTGTAGGTTTGGTTACTTCAACCCTAAACCTGAAATAATATTTTCCATTGATAGATAAATAAACAACAATTAACAGCTATATGAGCAACTGACCAACCCAAATCAGGCAACAAAAAAAAGACTTAGTTATAGATCATTAATTTAGTAATCTATCATTAATTAAGCTATAATACAAGAAAAACAATACTTGGTGTCATGTCTACCTAGCTAGAACTATACATCATACCTACTTGTGATGTTATCTATCTATCTATACATACATATTTTTTTATATATATATATATATATATATATATATATATATATATATATATATATATATATATATATATATATATATATACACACACACACACAATTTTTTTTAGTTTTTTTTAATTGTTGTTTTTGTTAAAATGTGTATAGTTTAATTCTTACACCAACCCTCTCTTCTCTAAAATGGGATAATATTTACTACTACTGTATTTGTTTTATATATTTTGGAGCAAGAAAATGTTCGTATATATAATGCAATAAACACGAAACACGCAGATTCAGAAGGCGTAGAGAAAATCGAATACTAACTTGTCGAGCATTTAAAATTGGCATTCAAGAAAAATAATTTTAGATAGAGGAGAATAGAATGTGAAGCAATTTTGGAACGTACCTCGGATTCGTTATCCAGTCTAAGCTTGTTAACCAGGTACTTTATAACCAGTCGAATTGTCATCCCTCCATCCCTAATGAAAAAAGAATACAAAAAACGAAAAATAAGAAATTAAAGTGTGACAAATAAATAAAATGCTAATTACCTAGTTTGATTATATTATGTGAGGACAGCAAAAACAAACAAGAAGATTAAGTGGTAGAAATCTTTAATAAACAGAAGAAGGATAAGTGTATTACTTGATTCTCAAGTAGCTCTTCGTAATCTGCGGCAAAAATGGTTCTTTTTCTCTGCACCAAAAACAAAAAGAAAAAAAATTCGAAATTAATCGAGCCCGTTACACATGATGATAATGATGATGATGATGTCTTGAGAAAACCAAAGTAGGGACAGAAAACAAAAAACAAAAAACCATGAAAAAAGAGAGCAATCAAGTGCTCCATATATATACCAAGTTATTTATAATAAGCCAAGAAATTAAAATAAATTATAGGAATAATGATTAATTAATAGCCTTTATCATAAATTTCCCACATATGAAAATGCTGATTAATTAGTAACACTACTTACTGATTTTGTGACGCTTGTAGCATAAACCAAATCCCAGAATGTGGTCTCCTAGGAGGTGGAATAACTCTGAAATCCATAGCCGCCGCGGCGGCCGCCGCATCCATATCTACTCCGGCGGCATAGAGTTGAAACTGCGGCCGTGGATAATAAGTTAAAGAAGACGATGTTTGTGACGAAGAAGCTGTTCCTCCGATATTGCTAATAATCGGAACATGCCTAAACGCCGCCCAGTTCATTTCTTGATGCGGATAATAATTAGTACTGCTAATTCCGTATTGCTGCAACAAAAACGACGACGACGGCGGGCTTATAAACCCTCCGCCGCCGCCACTAGTTTCGAAATTCAAAACCGGCCGAGGGGCTCGAAACTCCGGAAACAAAGGAGGGGCAAAAGTACTCCTCATCGTTAATTGCGAACTATTATTATTATTATTACTACTACTCGGCATAAGCTCAAGTTCAACCCGACCCGATTCGTTTTTATTTTCGTTTACGTTGTTTTTTCCATTTTGTTTCTTGATTTGGTGGCTACGGCCGCCGCCAATACCAAGCTGCAGCCACCCTTGCTCTTCTTCTTCTTCTTCTTGTTCTTGTTCTTCATCTTCTTCATCTCTAGTAATTACTAATTCATCGTCTTTCGAACTCGATTCCGCCTTTCGATCGTCTTCCACCGCCGTACTATGATGGTCTTCCTCCGCCGCCGCCATTAATATCTGATGATCGGATAATATGTAACAACCCTCCAAGCTGTGGCTCATACCACCGCCAAAACCCTCAACGCCGCCGCCGCCGTACACACCATAACCACCGCAAGACTGCTGATGCTGCTGCCGGTTTTCAGCCGTAAACATGGTCATCTCCACAGACAACCCAAAAAACCCCCAGAAATAAAAGATTCGATCTTGTTTATCATCAGAGAATCAGCCATATATGAATTAATAATAATGAATATTCATAAAAAGAAAAAAGAAAGAAAATTAAATGGGGTTTCGATGGTTCTTATTACATGGTGGTACTAGGGAATCAAACAGGATATAGCAGATACCCATTGACCAGATATTAAGTATATCAATCAATATTGGATTTTTTGTATTACTTGTTTTTTGGTGTATATATTATATA